GGTGGGGGTTTCCGCGGTCAAGGACCTTGGGGTGAGCGTGACGCTAGTCTGTGACGGAATAGGAAGGGCGGGCATGGGGCGGTGACTGGAATGTCTGGGGCAGGCGGCCTGGCGGCGGCGAGCGCGGCGAAAGCGCTTTGTGGGGGCGCAACGGGGGGCGCAGGGGCGCTTGGGGGCCGGGGGGGACGATTGGAGTCCAGCGCTGGCGACGAAGCCGCTTGCTCGCGCGGCACTCAAGCAGGATGGCAAACAGGCAGCCGGGGCTGGCGCAAGGGGGGGGGGCTCGCCTGTTGAAGAAGTGGCCGTGGAAGCTGCTGATCCGCATCCCCCGACTGCAGCGGATGCGCATGACGGCCTCCCAGGCGGTGGGGCGCGTGAGGTTGTGGGTGATGTCAGCGGACAGGCGGGGGCCGTCGCGCGCCGCATAGAAGCCCGGGTAGTAGTAGACCTGGCGGGGCGGAGGATGATGAGAGGGCGAGGCAAGGGGGGTGAGAGTGAGACAGGGCGAGGGGAGGGGGCTGATGAAGGGGTGGGGGGCTGAAGGGTTGCAAGGGCGCCCACCTGGCTGCCCCGCCAGCGGGGCAAAGGCCGCCTCATCAGCGGGCGGCGGCGGGAGCGCGGGCGGGGCCGCGGGAGCGGCTGTGCGCGTGCGCGCGCGCGGGACTGGGGTGAGGAGGGCGCAGCAGAGGGGTCTTCGCAGCCAGGGCGGCGCCCGCACCTCGCCGCAGGTGAAGCGCGGTATGGCCGCGAGGGAGGCCAGGTCCACGGGCCCAGGGGCAGCGCAGAACACATCCAGGCTGATCTGCTGCCGGCTGGCCTCCGCTGCAAACCTGTGCGGAGGCGAGCGTGCATACGTGAGTGTGTGTGTGTGTGTGTGTGTGTGTGTGTGTGTGTGTGTGTGTGTGCTCGTGCGTGCATGCAAGCGCGCATGTCTGGCGTGTGTATCAGTGGTCAAGGGAGGGGCGAGGTGGAGAGGAGGGGAGAGCGACACGCAGGCTCGCGCACATTGACAGACAAGGTCCAGTCTGGCAGCAATGCAGGGGGCGCTGAACGCCAGCCCGCAAATCTCGGCGCCAAACCTCGCATGCTGCTCAAACACACTTGCATCGGCGACATACATCAAGACAGCGCCAGCGACGCAACGGGCCCTCCTCAATTTGCACGCCGCGCCGCCGCCAAGGGCGGGGGCGGGGTGAGGCGCGGGTGCCGCGCCGCCCACCTCTTGAAGAAAGGGTCCTCGGGGTTGCGCAGCGCCGCCTCGCGCTCTGTGCCGTACGCGGCCAGCGCCTCGCGCGCCTTGAACTTGCCGGGCCCCAGGGAGGGCGCGCTGCCCTGGAACAGCAGCATCTTGCCGCCCAGGTGGCCCATCACCATGAAGGCAGCCTGGGAGGGGGGTTGAGTGCGTGCGTGAGCGCACGCGTGTGTTTGTGAGTGTTTGCGTTTGTGTTGTGTGTGTGTGTGTGTGTGTATGTGCGCGAGCGTGGGCATGTTCGTGGAGTGCATGTGTGTGTGTGAGAGGCAGGAGATAAATGAATGTTGTTGTATGGTTGAGAAGTCCAGCCTGGACAATGAAGCGCCGCTTGACAGAATCCAGGGAGGTTGCTGCAAGTGTCGTTTCTGGTGTGGCGGAGCAGCGTTCACAGACGGTTTCCCCTGCAGGCACGCCGGTCGGCGCCGCTGGACCCCGCAGCCCCGCCTGCGCACCTGCAGGGCGGGCCCGGTGGCGCTGTCGGGCAGCTGCATGTTGGCGTTGGGCCAGTTGCCCGGCAGCGAGTCCAGCAGCGCGTCAACCACCTCGCGGCTTTCGCTCAGGTTGACCTGCGGCAAGGGGGGGGCGCGCAAGTTTGTGTTTGGGTGGGGGGTGGGGGGGACGTGCACGAGTTTGTTGTGCGTAGTGCGTGTGTGATTACCCATGTTGCGCGGTAGCGGTAATATGTGAGTAATGAGTGTGTGTGAATGTGTGGGTGTGCGCGCGCGCGTGCATTTGATTGTGCGTGCCTAACTGTGTGCACTCAAGTGTATGTGTGTGTGTGTGTGGGGGGGGGGGGTAGGTGATGTAGGGGCACAACGAGCTGGCAAAGTGTGGGTGGTTCAAGGCGAGCTGCTGGCGCACAAGGAACCGGCGGTGGCTGCAGGCCGCGCGCCGCGCCGGCAGCCGGGCGGACAGCGGCAGCGCCCCGCGCCGCAGCAGGCGCGCGGGCGGGGCGCGTTCGCGTCCTAGCCGGCCGCGTTGGCAAAAGCATGTATGCGCACCAGCATGTCATCGGGCAGGGGCAGGAAGGGCTCCTCCAGTTCAGTGACGACCATCATCTGGGGCGCAGTCAGAGTGGACTGCAGTGCGTGGAGGTGGGCGCAGGGCGGGCGGGGGCAGCTCAGCGTTCAGGCGGTGGCGGGAGAAGTTGGGGTGTGGGTGGCGGGCCGACGGCGCGGTGTCGTGCGTGCCCTGCGCCAGTTGCACCGCCGGGCGCCGGGCTCGCGGGTGAGTGGGGCGGGAGGACGCCTGCAGCATGACGAGGCCCGCGTGTCGCAAGCTCGCGCCGCCCTCGTCCCCAGGCAAGCCCAGGGCCTCCCCCTCTGCCTCCGCACACCGCACCTCAGCCGAGCAGCCCCCCTCATTTCTCCGCC